CTTCCTTCCGATGAGGCAAGGTGGGGTGTGTGGGCTGGAGGGAGGCACAGGGGTCCCAGCCTCTGGGGCACCATGCATTGCCTTCCTTTGGGATGTGGCCAGAGCCTGCGGCCCAGGCAGTGGCATGGCCAAATGCTGCCCCACGGTGCTGGGGGCACAAGGTGATCCCAACTGGGCACCTCCTGCTTGCAGGTCTGCAAGCTGGAATTGCTGTTAGGTGGAGCTGTGTCCACCAAGAAGGGTTTACATTAGCATCTATAGTGACAGGGCTCCCTTCCAGCAGATCTTCTCTTAAAAAATCCCATCTCTGGACACATGCTGAGAAAGCAGCAAGGAGTAATGCATTAGAGCAGATGAGGGCTGCAGAGTGGGGAGCTGGGGCCTTTGGCTGGCTTGGGCTGGTCCTGCTGCAGGTCTAAGGACATTGCAGCCACACAGCATTGTTCTCATCTGTGAGTTGGTCCTGGTGGAAGTGTGGGCCAATGGCAACCTGGCACCTGTGCCATGAAGTGGGTAGGCTTGGGATGCACACAAGCACTGTGTGGCTGATTTGTGTGCAAAGGGGCCTGTTTTTCTGGGGCTTTGGGCGCTTAGAAAAAGCACCGAGCCTGGAAACGCTCACATGGGGAGAGGGACCTTGCTCCCTTCTTGAGACTCTTCCCAGTGCGCCCACACCTGTGTGTTGGAAACCCTGCCATGAAGGCAGGCTGGTGACACAGAAGTAGACAGGTCATCCATGCTTCTCACAGCTCCCTGGGACCTTGCAGCAGAGAAAAGGTCCCTGCTTTGTCCAGTTGTTGTCCTCAGCAGCAACCAAGTCATCTAGGTGAAACCTGACCCACAGAAGTTTTATTATGGAGTTATTAAATCAACAGCATAGAGATATCTGGAGAACTTACTGGGGAAGAGGCTGTGGTTTGGCATGATCTGAGTCTATCACTTTGATACTGCGCCATGCACAATGTGTGGTATTTACTCTGTGTCTAGATATACTGGATAGTGAGCTGGCAGGTGTGAGCTGCTGCTTGCCTTTACAAACCACTGGCAGATAAGATAGCCACATTAGTGCAGTGCTGAGCTCATGTTAAATTATCCTGCGTTTCACCTTGAACTGAGCCTGTCATTAACCACAGCCACATGGCTTGCTCTTCAGAAATGGCTTGTGGCCAGCCTGCTCAGGGTGGAGATGGGGATTGGTTTGCAACGCAGCACCTAGAGATGCACCTTGAGCAGGGCAAAGCATCCAAATGCAAGTTGGTGTCTGGTTTCAGAGCTGTCACCCCTGACATTTTTCAGAGTAGGTATTTGGATCTGGCCACCCTGTTGTTTGTTTTAAAGCACTTTTATACTCCAGGCCTTTTTTTTTTTCCAGAACGATGCAGCAAATGCAGCTGTTGCTGGGTTTTTTTTTTCAAAAGCTGAGTTCCTCCTTGGGCCATAATATAAGGTGGCCAAGTATCCGTCATTGTGTCATCTGTGAGGTCCCTCTGAGGACAGCTGTTTCTCTGTTACTCCACAACAATGGGAGCCACTGGGTGCTTGGTGCTTGCAAAATGGGACCATCCCTTTTTTGCTCCTTCTTTGTTTACTTCAGTTGGAAAAGCAGCACAAAGAGGGCAGGGGTAGTAAGCTTTCTGTGCAGTGGTGAATTTTCTGCAACAGAAAGTGTGAACTGCTTGGTATGTGTACGTCACTGCAACACGACCTTCAGTTGCCTGAGTTGTTAAAGGAAGAGGGTGGTGCTGGCAGAAAGTTGAATTGCTCATTAATTGCTTTGTAATTTAGCTAATTGGTTTTGTCAAGGCTGTGGAATATATGGGGTGCAGCTGATTGTTGTCCCAGTGTTTCATCTTTACAAGTGAAAATGACCTAAAACCATTTTTTAAAAATGAAACCAACATGTATCGTGCATACTATGGATTCAGACCTGTGAGTATCTGCTTTCTTCAGCCTTTGTGTCTGGCCTGTGGCCTCAGACTGTTCATGGGCCACTGGGACACTTTCTGAAGCGTAGCAGACATTTCTGGCATTCCTTCCACAGCAGTGCACACTCCCAAAGTAGGGCTGCCCAAAAACTCCTATGTAAAAGGACCAGCTCTGGATAAGTGCAGTGTGAGAGCACGCAGAAGTGAGTTAAACAGAACAGTATTTTCCCTGCAGGGGAGAGCATAGTTACTCTGCTAGGAAGGGGCTGGGAAGGGAGGTCAGGCTTTCTGCTTATGCATGCAGTAGATAAACCCACATCTCTTTTTTTTTTCTTTGCAGGTAGTGGCCATGGAAGCAGCACTTTGCTCCCTCATACCATCATGAATGAATTTCCAGAGTACAGCGCTGTAGAGCCGAGTGGAGATGCGCTGAGAGCTTCATTGCCACACCAGGCAGAGCCTGTGGCACGCAGTCCAGAACGAAGGGATGGCCACCACCAGGTGCCTGGCAGGCCCTTTCCTCAGTGTGTGGCTCCTGCAGACAGTTTGAGACCTGACGGTGGGGCAGCACAGCTGCACGCCCTAGAAAAAGGTTTACAACCTGCAGGTAACCTGCCAGAGATTACGAAACTCTCTCAATATCTGGAAGCAACAAAGGTGCAAGAGAGAGCAAATACCTCTCTTGATTCAGAGACACAAATGGAAAAAAAGAGCGTTACTGGGAGCCAAAATGTGCAGGCAGCCAGAGAACCAGTTCCAGCAGGCCAAGAAAAACCCTCAGACATGCCTCTTCCATCTGAACAAACTGCTGAGGAAAAAATGCATTTGATCATAGAGAAAGATCTGACTGCAATATGGACTGGAGAAAAGCAGTCTGAGTCCTTGCAAGCTATCAGTAATAAAGCTGAGGAGGTCCACGCAGCGCAGGAGACAAGCTGTCATAGACCATCTGTGACAAACCTGGAAGCAGCCAGCAGAGTGGAGGGGTGGGCGCATTTTGAGGATTTTTCAGCATACAGTCAAGGCAAAATGCAAATGGGTCCTGAAAGGAGGCTCTCTAAAGAGGCAGCTGTGAGTAAACATGTAGAATTTCAAGGGGTGGAGATTTTATGGCTGCAAACAGCTGAGGAGCAGAGAAGAAAGAAGCACTCACTGCTGGAGACTGTGTCCGTGGAGAGGAAGGCATTCCCCAAAACATCCAGCCACCCTGCGCCACTGATGGTATCCCCAGGCTTGGTCTCCTCACCAGACAGCGCTTGGAGCGAGGTCTGTGAGAACCCAAGTCTGGGACCTACTGCCTCTGGAGCCGCTCCTCTGGCACTGCTTGATGAAAGCGGGGAGGATGAAGTTTTTGTGAAGGATAAGAAGAACCGTGGTGAGGAGGAGATGGCTGTGCTAGTGAGAGGCCAGGGCAGGTGAGATGGTGCTTGGGCGGGTGCAGGGGGCACGTGGGGTTTCTGTTGTCCCAAGCTTATGCCTACCACTTTAGGAGCTAATGACGAACAATGTTTCTCTGCTGCCTGTGGCATGGTGGCAATGGTAGCAGTTCATGACTGGTGGTGGCTAGTGTATGAAGTTGGGCCTGAAACCCATCCACACCACCTTGATGAAGTTTGAATTCCTTCTCAGCTTTGGAAATGTAAAGATGTCTCTCGCTGTTTGTGGAGTAATGGCTGTGTGACGAAGCATCTGTAGTAGGTGTAGCTGGGATCCGGACATGGCATGTAATTAAATACAGGCAGCACGCAGGCCTGGCCGTATATGCCTGGCCAGATTTTCTGGTTTCAGGCAGAGTTTGTGCAAGAATGGGGCAAGTGCCTCTGAGAGGTCGGATAATAAAGAAGTTTTACCCAGGGCCTGATATGTTGTAAGAGGGTAAATGCTGTGATGTGCTTTCTATAGCATCTGTCAATCGATCTATCTACCTACCCACCTGTGTTTATATAATTTGAGCTATATATATTGCAAAAACGGTGAGCTGCTTTTTTACAAGAGCATCCTGATTTGCTCACTCTTCTTTCCTGATGCACATCTGTAACAAAGCAAAGGGTGCCACTGGCATGCTCCGAGCAAACCATGCCTTCTCTGACTTGGCGGAGTGTTTGGTGCTGAGACAACTGGATCTCAGCAAGGGAGGTGCTTCTGGCTCTGCACCTGGGGATCCGTGGCGTTTTGCTTTGGCTAAAGTGTGGGATCGCTCAGGTGGGCAGCCCTGATGCCTGGCACGTGCCATGAGAAGCCGTGCAGTATTTGATGCAGCAGAGAAGAAAACTCTCCGCAGGGGACTCCTACACCTTTGCCTATGCATCTGCAAGCAGGCCGAGTCTTCCCCCTTCAAATCTGGTTCTCCTGGCTCTGTGGTTTTAATTGCATTTGTTTTCCTTTGTGTTTTGGAGGGATTTCCTCCAGCCTTTTGCTGAAGACCCCAGCCCTAGTTTGCAGAGCCAGCAAACTCCTCCAGAGGCAGTGGCCCCATCTGGGTGCACATCTCTGACCTGTGCAGCCTCTGGCATGGCAGTGGTGCCAGCAGAGACCTTAGGCATTTACTCTTCCTTGCACAGTAAGAAGCTGATGTTATCTGTTAGACAGTATCAGGCATTCCTCCCGCCCTTTTCTTTTACACAGGAGGTTGTTTCTTTTTATGTCCCCAGAGAGGGAGATGGTGCCAGTCATGAACAGAGGTGGTGCAAGAAGAAACTAGCATTTTACCCACAGTGTCGTCTCCTGCATGAAGCCACATTCACCTTTCTGTTCACAAAGGTGGAAGGCGAGGAGAGTCACCCAGAGGTGTAAACCTTGCCCCCAAGCTGAAATAAGCTGTTTCTGATTAATTTCCAGGATGATGGAGGAGGGGGAAGCTGCCACGGGAGGATATGATGTCCTTGAGCAGAGGCACTCCGACGTCTCCACTGATCTGTACAGCTCACAGTTTGAAAACATCCTAGACAATGCATCTTTATACTACAGCGCGGAGTCGCTGGAGACATTGTACTCGGAGCCTGAGAGCTACTTCAGCTTTGAGATGCCACTCACTCCCATGATCCAGCAGCGCATGAAGGAGGGCGGCCAGTTTTTAGATCGGACATCAGCTGCAAGGCAGCCAGATGTCCTGCAGCTTCCCCCTGATGGGGAGGTGAAGGGCTGCGGTGAAGGCATTGACAATGGCATAAGGGATGTGAGCGAAACACTCTTCAGAGGAGATGTCACGGAAGTCCTTCATTTGGAAAGGTAAAATTAGTGGGTGAGCTTTCTGTGTGCCTACTGATTCTTCCCTGATGTCTGTTTACTTCAGCAAAGTGTAGTTTTGCCTCTTTCAACACTACACGTTTTTGACATAGAATAATTTCCAATGTAACAGAGCTAGCTGCAGGAGAGAAGTGAGATGTCCAAACCTGCTGTTCATTAGAAAAGTGCAAATGTACTTTACAAAGTTTTGTAGATGATATTTGTGTCAATAAAAGGCTGGCTGGTGTTGTCACATCTCTGGGACCTGTCCCTGGAGAGTTAGTTACCGATTAGAGGTGAACGTTGTTCAGCTGCAGTTATACTGAATTTGTTACTGGCAATTTTAGAAACAATTAACACCCTGTGCACATGGATGAGTTGTCCAAATGCAGTTCATGATTTGGATGTTAAAGGTGTGTCTCTGGGCATAGTGTTTCCTCTCAGAGTGTTTCCTCTCTTGAGGTCGGTGGGAGTTTTGCTGCTTACTTCAGCTGGAACAAGGTTTTGCTCCCACCACATTCATGGGATGAGAGACAATCTGTGCTTAGATAATGCTTAGAGACACATTAGCTGCCTGCGTAGTGGGGATTTCATTAGGGATTAAGTTAATTTTAGGTTAAATTTGCAGCCATAGTGATAAGCCAACAGAGGATTTTTAAATTCTTTTTTCCTCCTTAATAAAAAAAGGAAGAAAGAGGGGCCCCCCAACAGCAGGTTTGTTAGGAAGCTCTGCTGTCATAGTCTGCAGGGCTCTGTTAGGGATGTGCCCGCAAGGCTCGCTGTGTTAAGGTAGGTGCTGATAAAGAGTGTAGCTGCAGCAGAACTGCCACGGATGCACCCAACAGGATAAACCGGACCAGACAATAACCTTACTAACCACCCTACCACCATGATATCCTAATAATCATGTTGTATTGCACCGCGGTACAGGTGACTGACAGATAGTGTGTGCTACATTGTTGGAGCCAGTGGTGAATCACCGTGTTACAGGATGTGGGTGCGGAGCACCGCGTGCATGCTGGGTGCTGCATGGGGTCTGTTTGCAGAGGAGTCAAGGCAGTGCGTCACTGTGGTGCCCAGGTGAACCAGAAATAGCCACCTGAGCTGTGGGCACTGTTTCTAAGAGTTTGCATGTGTGGTTGCATTGCCTGAAGCAATTCCAGATTTGGTTTTTTTTCAGCTGAAAGTCCACATGTGTGCTACGTATGCGTTAGCCACTGCAGCACCTTTGTGCTTTCTGCTGTAAGCCCTTGATTCCTGCGCCCCGCGGTTGCGTTGGGGCTGTAGTTGCCCACAGGTAGCGCCTGCCTGGCGCCGCAGAGCGTCAAGGGGCACCCACGGGAGTGCTCCAGCTCTGCCGGAGGACGAGGTGGGGAAGGCAAGCCCACC